ATGATGTATGTATGTATGTATGTATGTATGTTATGTATGTATGTATGTATGTATGTATGTATGTATGTATGTATGTATGTATGTATGTATGTATGTATGTATGTATGTATGTATGTATGTATGTACGTATGTATGTATGTATGTGTGTGTATGTATATAATATATATATATATACATATATATATACGCATTCGCTCACTCGCACACATACACACACTGTCGTTCTGGCACGAGCGGGTCAAGAACATAAGTGTAGCTGACAGTTACACTAGGGGACACACAGTGAATGTAATCAGAGTTCTTGTGTAGTATGAGCCTCTTCAGAATCTTTTACAAGTATGTACTTCTTCAGAACCTTTGTATAGTATTCGACTCTTTCCCCTTGTGTGATCTTGGCATAGACGCACAACTGCAGCCTTCGGGATTATTCTGACACCACTTGCGTGAGTTGACCAACAAGAAGGTCCTACATTGTTCGCATCAGAATCATTTAATTTGTTCAGTACTACAAGCAGCACACCGGTGAATTGATATCTCGGTGAGAACTCTGATACCATTGTTGCGTACGTAGTATGGTACGCACCAACCGTTTCAGAATTATAGTGCACGCGTCCGTTTGCTATAGTCTTTCAAACAGGGAGTATCCTGCTTTTCAAGTAGCAGTTGTGTGCCCGACTCGAGTTGCTGGATGTATATGACGCGCTTGTCATAGCTAAATTAGCAATAGTCCTCAATCGTAATCAATATGCCGTGTGGTAGATTACTTGCACCGTGAATCCTATCTTTTATAATCTCCATACCGCCGTCAAGTACAGACAAGTGGCCGATGATACATGAAAGTATATAAACTATGTAGTAGATTATTGGCATCCTTTGACCTTTTCTGAGCTCATGTACTAAGCTTCAATACTCGTGTACTTCACTCGTGTTGCCGATGGTGTATATTCCGTGTATCAGAGCCGACCCCACAGCTAGGCCAAAGACCCGTGTCCTCAGTGTTGGATGATCTCTCAGACCGATTCGAATTAATGGCAGCACAGGTGCCCATATAAGCGGTGCTAAGAGCCCATAGTTAGGTTTACGTACACCTGGGCGGCGAATGGTGTCGTCCATGTTTTTGGGCCAATTTTGTTGGTAAATAGTATCCAAATAGAGTATGTAGTGATATGTAGTTCCCTGTATGTACTACAGTCTACAGTCTACAGTCTACAGTCTATACACTCTACACTCTACGCATAACTCACCCTGTATAACTTTTATCATAACTTTCTGAAAATTGAACAAGAAGGCACTTTGGCGTAACACTGTAAAATGTAAAAATGTAAAACCAAAAGTACAATATAGCGGCAACGAATCAAATGCCACCTTCTTTGCACGCCACTGTATACATATTCAATATGAATAAATAGAGGCGAAAGCTGCGAAACAGGTGTTGCCACAAGTATTGCAAGTTAAAAACGTCGTCACTTGGCTCCATAGCAACATCACAGGTGATTGTATATCTAGTAGAAAACTTCAGAGCCGGACATTGTACTTCCACAGCAGTTTTGATATACGTACGGAACAAATAATGACTACATCGAGTGACGAAGACGTTGGGCCTTTGCCACCAGGCATGGATAATAGGAAACGGCCAAACCCCAGTTCAAGCAAAGGTAAAGGTAACGATAGTGATTCAGATAGTGATGTAGGCCCGATGTTTCCCCCTAAGTCGAAGTCAAAGATAAGTGGAAATGACTCTGACAACGACGATGATGTTGTGGGTCCTCTGCCGCCGGGCGTCGGTGCTCCCTCAGAAGCTGGGAAGAAAAAGGGTAGGTGCTTTAAATGAAGCTACTGTAGGTATAGCGATATATTATACTAGTCTAGAGCTATATTGGCATATGCGCTACGTTAGAATAAGAATGTATTTCTTGTCGTCTAAGTGGTTCTATTACTAGCAAGATTGTATATGTACACGCATGCGCATGCGCATTGGGTTGGGTTCAGCGTGATTTTCTCTTCGCTACATTACATTTGACAGTGTGATTCCTCAGCCAGATTTCATCGTAGGCATGGTTGCATCATTTGAGATAGCCTGTCAATGCATGTATATATATATATATATATATGTGTGTGTGTGTGTGTGTGTTGCTGTGTGTGTGTCGTGTTATATATATTTATGTGTGTGTGTGTGTGTAGTGTTTAACTATATATATATATATGTCTGTGTCTCTGTGTCTCTGTGTGTGTATATAAATATATATTTATGTCTGTGTGTGTGTATGTATTTACGCGATGAAGTGCTGCGTATAATCTACTATTCAACGCCTATTAACTAGGTTGTTCAAAACTTGTTGAAGTTTTACTTGCACGTGCTAATAGAAACTACCTTTTTACTACAGCTCTCAAATATCAACACGTGTACTTGGAGAATTTGCCATCGGCGGAGATGTACGAACGGAGCTACATGCATCGAGATATCGTCAACGATGTAGTAGTAACTAACAAGTATGGAGTGTTTTCGTGCGCAGATGCACTCTATCTCGTGCATGTTTTACAAGTAGTGCGTCGCGGTAGTATAGCGATTGTCGAGTGTTACGAAAGTATCTGTCATATAGTGAATATTGGGGTGTCTGAAAATAATGGAAGAGGTAGACCACATACTTGCCTAGGCCTTGCTTTTGTGTTTCCTTGCACCGCCCCTTCAGCACGCTATGAATGTCAGCTAGCACTGTTTTGTTTTGTTTTTTCGTGATATATCTCACCGTGAGCGTATGTCTCGTTTGGCTTGAACAGTATTCCACACCATTATGTGCCATTTGGGCTAGTCGCTAAAGTTATTACTTTTGAGCTGTCACTTGTTGCTGGTGAGATAGCAGGCTCAAGTCGTCTTTGCTTCATATCAATCAGAACGAACTTCATCGTCACAACCAGTGCTGATGGGCACCTCAAGTTTTGGAAGAAGGGACCGCAGGGCATTGAATTTGTAAAGCACTTCAGAGCTCATATGGGTATGTTATCCGCGTGACATCTCATACGGGTTATCTTGTGTTTTTGTATCGAGAATTTGGCAGCTCAGCCCTACTAAGACATCTCAGGGGATCGAATGTGTAACCGATACTGGGCTCAGTGTCTGTCCATCTAGAATACTTGCACATATCATTTAGATTAGATACTTGAAGTTTGCGATGCAAGCATCAAATACACTGCAGTATATGTTCGGTCGTTGTGTAGGTTGTTTGTCTCTGGATCGTGATTGATGTAATTAGCATATATTTTGTAGCATGTGCATCAGTTGGTAGCTATTTCAAAACTTAAGTATTCCATGCAGCAGGTATGTTACATCATGTATCTCCTGTACTATTCGCTCATTCGATACCGGACAATCCACTGTTTCCACCTCAGGTTCGATTGTAGATGCAACAGCAAGCAATGATGGATTAATGCTTGCCAGTATAAGTGATGATAAAACCGTCAAAATCTTTGATGTAATCAATTTTGATATGATCAACCAGATAAAGCTAGACTATATTCCCCTAGCTTGTTGTTGGGTACATACTGACGGAGCAGCCAAAGCTGTGCTGGCGATATCGGACGCAGCGGGTCCCACGATACGACTGTACGACGCAAACATTGGAGAGGAAGGGGACCCCATCAAGGAGATCAACGTACACACACAGCCGGTATGAGAACTGAATGTCTCGCTGTGATGTCTGTTAACGATCGTATGAGAAGCAACATCTTGTTAGTCTTCTATAAAATCTTTATATGTCTTGTAGTTTTTTATAATGTGCGTTTTCTGCACAATAAATAGGCTCTTGTGAGTTGTTGCAGAGCGTGGTGGCGTTGGAGTTTCGAAATGGGGGGTACTCCTTTGATGCTTTAATCATCAATCTGACTCCTTTGATACTTTAATCATCAATCTGACTCCTTTGTGCTTACGCGCTCGCAGGTACATCTTATGGCGTTGAACCAACGGTTAGGAGTAGTTGTCTCAGTAGACAGAGCCGGTATGGTTGAATATTGGAGCAACAGCGGAGCCTACACATTCCCTGAAAAAGCCGTCAGTTTCGATTCGAAAATGGATACTGACCTCTACGAGTTCATCAAGTGCAAAACAATGCCCACATCACTGGCCATCAATGAATCGGGCGAACTTATGGCTCTTGTGGCTAAGGACAGGAAAGTCCGCATATATAAGGTATGTAGTTAACCAGCTGGATCTTTCCGCCTTTTTTCTTTGGGGGGAGGGGGGGGTAGTTGTCACGGATGTGTATTCAGGCATCACGTGTTATCTTCTCCCATGTAAGGGACGCATTCAAGTATGTTGCTATATGCTGTATCAGCGTAGGGGTTTCATGTTTGACTCCGGTGGCTTACATGGCTGCTGTACTATATATTTGGCTGACCTGGTTAAAATTTGGGCACCATACCCTATATTCGCTTATAATGGCCATAGCGTTTATAGTATTTTAGGCGCCATTCCGTGGCTGCTTGATTTCAAACCCCCTTTCGCTCTTCAGATCAAAACAGGAAAATTATATCGCGTGTACGACGAGAGCTTATCAGTATATTCTGAGAATCAGAAAACCAACCCCCAACTAGACAGCGTGGATTTCGGGCGTCGCATGGCTCAGGTAGTATGCATGTTCATATAAATATGCTAATTGAATATGTAGTGCTTTTACCTGACTGCTTGAGAGCGTATGTGTCCGCTTTCGTCTGAATTTTGTCCCGAAACAATGTTCTACCGTGCGTTTGTTTGCGTGTGTATTGTAAATTAGGATTTACGACCACTGTTGAAACCTAAATCACGATAGTTGTGTTTTGTTTGCAAGAATGCTGCGAGTGATGTACTGATCTTCATTACAAATGTCCTGAGTGACGTACTGAGCTTTGTTGTATGTGTCCAGGACACGCATATCATGACCTGTCGATATAGCGGGACTGTCTGCTCATTTTAGGCGCTCAGGTCCAGATGAGTTGATGTCTTATATTATATCTGCTACGCTTCACACAGGAGAAAGAAATTGAAAACTCACCGGCTTTCGAACGAATCAATGCCGTCTTCGATGAATCAGGGCAATTTTTACTATACCCCACCATGTTAGGCGTGAAGGTTATTGGAATCAAAACAAACACAGTGGTGCGCGTTATGGGCAAGCATGAGAGCACCGTGCGGATACTGCGTATAAGTTTGTATCAAGGCAAACCTGTACAGGCGGCTGCAACTCTTTCGCTGGTGTGTTGTCGTGTACGGCACGAGCGATGTGTTGAGCTCAATGAGCATTTTGCGCATGCGTTGTTCATCCTTGATAAACTCCGATTCGTGCAGAGACTGTAAAGTTTTCATGTGGAAATCTCATGATGCTTGTAGGGATGCGTGATCGATATAAGAACAATCAGTGATATTTCACTTGCATTTGCATAGGCACTTGTACACAGGTTATGTCTCGATTTTGCAACTTCGCGGTAATTGCATAGTTGTGCGACACGAGAGGTATTGTGAGATGGTAAAACATGGCTTGACTCTATTCTCACTTGGATTTTGGCTTATCTCTGATTTGTATTTGTAGGAAATGCAAACATCCGAAAATCCGGGTTTGGAGGCGTTGTCGACGCATGACCCGACTATGTTTTGCACTGGCTACAACAAAAATAGATTCTTTCTTTTCTCACGAAGAGACAGAGAAGAGACCGAAGGGTATGTGCGAACACAGTCAACAGACATGCGTATACATGCAGCATTTTTTTATGGATTGTTTGTCTAGTGTTGCTCACTGTGCGTTCTCTTTGGCCTTTTGTTTGCTAGGACCACTCCAGTATGTTTATTCCACTTTCAGATTTGAGCCCTTGCAGAATGCTTTTGGTGATCAGTCATGCGAATGGTAGCTAAGATATTTTTCCCTGCGAGTTAGATAAAAATTGATTCAGACAGATATGTCTCCCAATCTTAAGCTACGTTATCAACTCATTTGCTGGTACTGGAACTGTAGCTCAAAAGACTACCTGAAGGTTTACGAGAAACTTTCCAAATTTACTTTTTGCTGATTTGCACCTTGTTCTATGCTGCGATCCTGTGTGATCTGTGCAGAGAACATGGTCGAGATGTGTACAACGAGAAGCCCTCGCGCGAAGACATGATAGCCGCTACAGACAGCCAGGTGAAGGCTTCGTGGCCTTCACAAGCCATCATCCATACATCGTACGGGGATGTACACGTATCACTCTTCCCGGACGAATGCCCGAAGACCGTAGAGAACTTTGTAACGCACAGGTATGGCCTCGATCGACTCAATTTGCAATGTATTGTAAGTTTCTCCTATAACTTGCTTAACAACACTTTGATCCATCTTGGGAGAGATTGAAGTTCACTACTACATTCTTAAAGTTACGAGGAGATTTGTTAGGTGTGGGTTCGTACTACTATGCGAATTCCAGTATCAGTGGAGATGCTTCACACTCTAAATATCAGTAGGCAAGAAAATACTTATCATGATATGCTTACAATCTGTGTTGCATCTTTACTCACAGCCGGAACGGCTACTATGACAACCTCATCTTCCACCGAGTTATAAAAAGTTTTATGATTCAAACGGGCGATCCCGAGGGCGACGGCACAGGCGGCGAATCGATATGGGGTGCTGAATTTGAAGATGAAATCTCACCCAAATTAAGGTAGCTAATGAGTTTGTTGCACTTTCGTGTGCTCATTTATCAGTCTTCGTATGCAACTGTGTTCTGTCGTGCCTGTATAGTGCGATTGTGTGCTTAAAATTTCCAGCAGTAGTTGTACTCTTTTTAGTTGCGGCTGTGTATGGCTTCCGTTATCCTCAGATGTGTGGAATGTACCCAGGTGTCGTCGCAATGTAGAATGGACGGTAGTTGTTGTCTCTCTGACTTTGCTTGGATTTTGTGTCCTTAGAAATCTGTTCGGTGCGCTTTTTTGTGTGCTTCGCCATTAGCATTACGTCCACCGACTGAACTCATTACATTCGATCATAACTCGACTACCGGTACTACAAAACCATCCTATCCCGCACACATCCTGAAGCCTGTCTAAACTCTCAAATCTCTATAAATCAGGCACGACCGACCATTCACTCTGAGCATGGCAAACGCAGGCCCTGGCACTAACGGGAGTCAGTTTTTCATCACTGTGGTACCCACGCCTTGGCTCGATGATAAACATACAGTCTTCGGAAGGGTGACACGTGGCATGGACATAACTATGAAAATCAGCAATGTGCCGTGTGACAAATTTGCTAGACCAAACGAAACAATAAGGATCCTCAATATCTCATTCGATTAAAGGCTACCCTTCTAAAATTATCAAGAGGTGGTCGATTTATCTCATCACCACCACCCTTTAATCCGATAAAACGGTATCCGTCTAGTTATTAAGAGGTGGCCTATTAATCTCATCACCACCGCCTATTTTTATTCAAGTCCACTCCAGGCTCACTCCAGGCTCCCCTTCGATATTTATCGGCGAAAGCCCGCCACAATTTTTTAAACAGCTCTTCAAACAATCCGCGCCAACAGGGAAGCATCCAGTCAAATCCATTACAAAGAATATCAGTAAATTTCTCAAATAGGTTTCGGCTATGCTTTAAATACGAGCCATACGATGTCAATGGATTGTGTATCCACGTTTTCTATTGGTTCTAGCCAAAAATTATTGTTGAGAATCCATGGGCCCGATTTGGTTTCTCGAGAGATGAAAGAGTTTACAATTCGAACACTCTCCACTAATTGTACTATTCCTGTGTAGTTTAATAAAAAACATATATTTTCAAATTTTCACGAAGCACTGGTCATCTGTAGTTTGAGGTATACAATTGGTCAATTATGCACACTATTTTGAAACGAATATATTTTACGATAATTTTGTATTTTCTACACGCGTATTATACAGTATACGACATGTCACAGGATGAATATAGCACATCCGCCATTTGTCGACATATTTTATCACTCCGTACAGAAATATCCTCCAACAATCATTCCTTAGAGTTTATTGGAATTAACTAAATATAATCATCTAAGAGCCCAAATGTCTCTTACGGCTGTCATATATCTATCGGTGTCGATACGTTTCGTAGCAACATTATTATACAAGTGTCAGTTGCGCACACTACACTATATAATCTGATTATTGCAAAACATACCTGAGTGACTACATATCTCGTTCATCGCGTCTTTACAATTTGGGTGTTTTTTTTTAATAGCAAACTTTGTGTGACCTGCAGGATATGCGCAAGCTGATCTCAGTATATAGCACGTGTAGATGTATTCCCTTCCTCTCACTTCTCACTTCAGCAAGATAAATCGATACTTACGGGTGCTACACATATAGTCCTTAGTACAAATTTCCTATTACTAAACATTAGCACATCATAACTCGCGAAGCTCCTTTTAAACATTGCAATGAGAAATACAAACGTGACTATTACGGACCTCATGGGGTACGATTACTTTCCCAATATCAATGTGAGTGCTACGACTAAACAGCCACTTGTGCAGCCACCAGCACACTCCTCCTTACATGGGGATACTTACACAGCTGAGTGCGTCAGTGATACACAAAATGGAAGTGTTAAATTAGCGGAGACGGATGCATCGTGTCAATCGACGACACAAGCGCCCTTCCAAGACGTAGATGAAGTGATACGCACCATGGATAAAAACTACGGCACTAAGTTCTACGATTGGATACGCTCGGAGGCCAATTTGGAGTGTACGGCTATGCATATACGTAAAAACACGCATGATACCGACCTAAAGCGTCTAGCAAACGGTATCCGTTGGATAGTGGCGAATTGGACCATCGACAATATTGCACACCTGCTTCGTATGGTCACAAAGGGTTGGGTGGCTGAGGAAGAAGCCGAACTCGCGTCGATTGTGTCTAACGACTGGCCGTTAAAGCCATATACATCTCGCTTGGTTATGTGCATAACGTATGACATGAATCTGGAGGATATGGTGCGCTATTTCGGAGTGGTAACGGCAACGTGGTCGACCGACAGTACGCTGGAGCTGGTGACGGAGATTGCCGACAAGGCTGGGTGGAGCCTCGATCAGCTCGGGCACTTCAATATACGGCTGGCGTGGTATTTAAAGGAGCATAGAAGCCTGGATGACTACGATTTGAATAGAATCTCACTGTTTTGCACGGGAGCCCTTGATGGCGCAAGTGGCAGTCCACAGCACGGTCAGGAAATGGCGTGTTCGGCGGCGCTTCCTTCATATGCTCCTGAGGGTGATAATACGATTTGCCTATTGAACGCCAGTAACAACACAGACCACGATACAGAGATTTCCAACAGTGAAAGTTTTTGTGATGACAACATGGACGTGTGCAACAGTAATAATAGTATTAACGGCTTCGCACATCAAGCGAACAACGGCCACAACAACGACTTGTTAATGCCGCAGAGAACACTGCAACACTACACGAGTACGGAGAGCATCATGAATGCTATGGAAAATCAACGGGCAACAGTGGCGGATACGGAGAACGCTGGAAAGGACGCCACGTACACAGCTCACGCAGCAACGAAGGACTGTGACATGATGCAGTCATAGGCCAGTGGATGGTGGTGATGTCGTCATGTATATATTGAAGCATTGGGAAACGACAAAACTTGTGCATAATGCAAGTACATATATTGTATATATGTATGCACACTCTTATACCAAATATAAATATTACTTCTACCTGTTCGTGAACAAGTATTTGGTATCGATGCATATCGCGCTGGATTTCAAGGTGGGGTGATAGAAGATGGCGGAAGTGGAGTGCTTCGGTATGGCCATGTCTGTGACAAGGTTCGAAGTGATATTATTTTTATATAAGAGCTCTGTAAATAATAAACCTAACTCGTGTGTTTGTAGTCGATCCTCGATAATGGATATTTCTGTACTTAAATTTAAATAATAGACATTTTAGTATGGATGTCCTGATTGCCAACTGTGCCTGTCGGTCCAAACTACTTTGTGATCAAGCCGGTAGTCTCAAAATTGAGCCCTACGGTTTGTCTTGACTTCAATTAGACACCACAACTACAGATTCTGCTCATCGAGGTCAGTAATGTCCATTACCTCAATTTTACTCATTATCAGGTCAAATAGGATCATGCTGCTTAGAAAACTTATGTTGTATTGTTTTAACTGAAGAACGGTGTATCTCTCTTCTGGAAAGGTGAGAGTATATCTTGATCACCTGTGTACCTTTAAATAGTGCTTCGTTTGCAACTGGACAGAATACATCGAATTCAAAATTGATAATTCTGCGTTGATATCATCAGCCGCCAAAGAAAAATACCTCAGTTATTAACTTTAGACATTATTCAAGCATTTATTCGGTCTAGTGTATTGAAGTACATGTACCGACTGAATACGATATACAGTTTTCTGAACCATACAAGTTGGCTTGTATGCTCGTTCATCGCTGTCTGAGCGGTCCAAACATCAGAGGGAGACCCAACCGCTAGGAAAGAGTGACTGTGGAATGAGAATGAGAATGAGAAAATGAGAACGACTCAGTCAGCGTACTATTGATCGAACATACCCTGTACACATACTCCTATTCAAGAGACCGACGCTCAATATAGCATCAATAAGTACTCAGGGACGATATACTGTAATTTCGGATACTTAGTTAAGATCGAACATCAGATGTTCACGGTAATTAAAAATCGACCAAGCACCAATCAAGAGTGGTTTGGTATCCTTTGTACTGCGGGTGTACCCTGATGTAGAAGAAACGATCACGTCCAAGCATCCAGAGTACTTGCGCCATAGTGAGATGGATTGAAGCGAGTATGCTTTGATATTAGTATCCAATTTTCCCGTGTCAGCGAGGTGCCTGTCGTGGAAGAGAGTTTTGCGAGGAGAACGAATGAGTTTTGATACATATGCACCTTCATCTTATCCTTTACAAAACACAGAGCACGCCTCTTGTACAATGTGCGTTATCATTATGTAGCGAAACACCGAGCTCAGTGAAGTATGTAATCACATATGCCATAAAACAAATAAGGCCAAATGATGTGGCGCATGAGCAGCCTAATACATACCTTACGCCATCATAGCAGGATACATGATTTGGATGCTCAGAGACACCCCCAGAATCGAATGTAATGACCTGAGGTCGAAGTGTTGAAATCATGTAGGATACCATCATATTAGTAACCAAAATATGAAATTGTGTATGTATCTCGTAATTATGCTAATATATGTACAAGAAAGTATGCACTGGATAATTTAGGCCAAATCTCGTCAATCGAAATTCTCAGGTGAATGATTTACATCCACAACAAAGAAAGTATCTCTTTGCGACCAAGCAAATTGTGGATTTGTTCATGACGCATGCCGGAAACTCGCCCGCACGCTTCTCAGATTCCTTACAATTCGAATACCATTCTCCTTGATATAGTGTGCTACCACGCTGGCCACCTCTTGAGCGTTCCATTTTTTGGGTCCGTCCGGGAAGCGCCTGCCAATTTGATGACGATACAAGTCGGATGTAAAATAAAATCAGCACCTATACAAATCTTTGTGTGCGATCCTTGCATGAAGCAGTTTATAATGCATGTGCGTGCAAACACATCATAAATCGGATAATAAATTCTTCAAATAACGAATCCCTTTATCTGTTTGTTTTGAGAAAAAATATTCGTATTGATTGCTCGGGCAAAGTTCTTGTTTTATATAGAGCGCGTCCCAACAGCTATTAACGGTGCGCATTGTCGAGGATATAGCTTACAGTGCTATCTCAATTTGCAACTAGACTATGGAACATGAGATGTACTGGATGTCACAATATATAAATGCTATACATACTTGTCATCCAGAGCTTCACAGTCAGTCTGCCTAACACCCAATATTTTACAACTGGCTTCCAACTCTCTTGAACGTATTGCACCTAGTCCATTATAGTTCCCTGCATAGGCAACGACAATTCAGAAAAGCACAGTGTTTGCGTTGGTTGAATGCCCAAGCAGGAAATCAGAGTCAAGCACTTCCAGTGTCGCGAATATGTCGCAGACTTGACTGTAATGACCTGAATAAACTATGGCCGGCACAATCAAGTGCAATGGCGAAAGGCATGCGGGTAAATATCAGTGAGGAATATGAAGCACAATACAAAGATACTGTCTTAAGAGAGGTAGAATTACCTGTAGACAGGCAGAGTATATGGACTGGCCGTCCTTGTTTCCGCAGTGATATAATAGTGGGGGCGAAGAACATACACTCGTCATCCGGATGTGCGATGACTATGAGGGCCGGTGGTTCCAAGTCCGACTCATTCTCAGTACTTTGAGCTTTATTACCGTTCTATTCTTATTAAAGGTGGAGCAATAGGCATAGAGATATGAGAAGCATACAATATCTTAATAAATGTGATGGGCCTGTTTTCACCACCTTATATATGCAATGGAGAGAAAAATTCACATTCATCCTAGGGCCAATGACGGGCTCGAGATCCATACGATAGTTGTAAGAATGCGAGAATGACTATCTTAGCCTTTGAACGATATTGAAGCCACGATATCAAATAAGATTACAATATATACATACTAAGCAAACGGTAAAACGCATATAACAACACGAATAGTAAGAATTTGAACACCCAAATTATATCTATTAAATTTATTCTGGGTTACGCACCTTATATCCTGCTCTTTGTTTTTGCAGTAGTATATACCATAATATGAGAGCAGTATACCAGAGTACTAGAACGTAGGCCAACAGTATCGTAACTGGGTCAGTTAATGAATCTTGTATCATATTTATATAGACTACAATAGTCTGCTTAAATATTGTATTTTTAATATCAGTCGTCTGCTATAAATGCAGACTAAATAAATATATCAAAAGTGCACATAAAAATATATATATTTATATTCATGCTGACGTCCATAATTATGCATAGCAACTAGGTCATCGCAGCTTTCATTCCCGCCAAAATTAATCGAACATATCACATCTGCTATGGTGTCTGTTTTTTTTTTTTTAAATATTTAGTCTTTTTATATTTATGCTTTGTTTTTTGGCAACTATTGCACTGAAAGTGCATTCATAAGAAGCCTATACTTTATGACCTCTTGCACTCTTCGGCCGCGTACCTCGGTTGCTCCAGCCTACTCCGGACCTAACCTCGGCCCTAAAATATAATTAGGACAATTAGATTTTAGGCGCATAATAATCTGCATAACAAAACTCAATAAATTTAAGTTCTATGGGCTTTTTTTTAGTTCTATGGGCATTTTTAAGTCTTCTAAATAACATTATGAACGACTCATCCTCCTCAAGCGAAAGCTCCACTTCCAGAATCAAGTGGGCCTGGCTCAAACCCGACGATTCCAACTACGACAAATGGCTCACCCACCTCTCCGTGGCAGCTACCATGGACTTCAGCGAGGACCTCGAAAGTGTCCTCTCGTACTAACATGTACGTCGCCACATGCTCGATGTCACCGCTAATACCCCACTAAATCAGCGCACTCCGCAGACTGACAGAATTCGTCTACATGAACTTGACGAATACATCAAGGAACCCCGGGCTAATGGGACTTACCAATAAGCTCGTCTTCTCCTCCTTCGATCTCTCAACGATGAAATCATCGACTCCATGTCCGCCATCGAACTCGTCGAAGATCCATGGGCGATGCTGTTTTACCTCAAAGACATGTCCCGCCACATGTCCACCAAGTACAACGGTTCTATCACTCTTAATTTCCTCGTCAATTTTCAGCGATCTGACCAGGATACACTCCGCATATGGTGGCATCGCTGTAGTCCTATTCAACACGCTACCCAGGAACAAGGCACGGCGTTTAGCAACACATTCATGCAAAGCATCTACCTCTCTGGCCTCAGTGACGCAGATAAAGACATCATCCGCAGCTTTTTGGTAGCATCCCACGATCGCAACCAAGTAAATACCTCCGTCATCTGTGAACATCTTGAACGTTGGGAACGTGTCACTCCTGACATCAAAGACCTCACCGTTGAATAATGCACACCTCGTGCCGCGACATTCTCCAAGACAAAAGGTTTTACGCCAACACCCCAACCAGCAAATTCCGATGCCCTCCTCAACGCTTTAGTTCAGCGCATGGAGAAGTTGGAAACTGGCCGAGAACGTCCCAAAACACCATGCTTTGTTTGCTACGCCGACAACCATCGCTCTGCTGCATGTAAGAAGGCTTGTGGAAAATGTGCCAAGACTGGCCACTTGGGCTCCGTCTTGCACTGACACCCAACCTCAAATGTGCCATCTGCAGCCGTACCAGTCATCTAAAAGAAGTGTACAATATACGTGACAATAAAAAGAACTTCCAGTATTCTCCTGTTCCTAGAATTGTAGGTGTTCACGCATCACGTGTATCTGACATAGCTAGAACTTCTCATTCACGGCGGTGCTGCAGTTAATCTTATATATACGAAATCTAAGCACCTCCTTAGAAACGTACAACAGGGTAAATTCCCTTTATTTATGGCAGACGAACACGAATATATCATCCGAGAAACAAGTACACTCCCGCAAGTAGGTAATGCCTACCTTTGTCCTACTCTTCGGCAACAACTGGCCTCTCAATATCAGCTCCAGGATGGAGGCTATAGCATCTCATTTCCAGCTAATACCACCACCTGCATACTTCAATATGGTGCCAACTTAACCACCCTACATCGAACTCAAGGGGGGTACCGTATCTCCTACGCAGACATCACTCGGCTATCCAAGCCACCGGCAATCGCCCAAAATGCTACACCGGCATTCTCCTGTCCTGCTCCGCCAGCTGTAGGCACACCCCACGCTGTCAGCGGACCATCTCAGCCTGTGTCGACTAGCCCTACCACTCCACCATCGGTACCGACCAACGACGCCACTCCCAACGACAATACTCACTTTGCTCCTCCCAAAGTGATGCACTACGACGAATTTCACTGCACACACGGCCACAGAAACCCAATCATCACCCACAAAATGGCAAAGAAGCGTGGTATTGCCCTCATCGAGAATCCGCCCTTAGGCGTAATGTGACGACATCAGAAAGAACTCAACAAAACGTTGGTCCAACAAAGAGATCGCGGCAATGGCCCGGCGCCAATACTACTACCAACTGGTTATGGGTAAACCGCCAACCTCAAACCGAGACACAGCCAGACACGACAGTTTCAATCGCTGCTTCGAGTATACACCAATCCGGCTCTGTGCTATGATTGTAACGAATACGTACATGTTCACATTGCTCGACTACCGCACCGACGGCTGTTTCTGTCCTGTCAGCCCCGGTAGCCACAAGTTCACTGCCAGCCACTTTACCTGCATCCAACAACTGATTCGGCGCATCCTGGTAGGCCCGAAACTGCCGCCCATTGGCCCTGACCTCCTTCAGCAATTACAGGAGTGCCACGACTTCCACGGTATCTGGACCCTCCACGAACACCTTGGATCTTTTCTCCAGCATGTTGAAGAACCACCGTACCCTCACCCGTCCCTGACACATCAACAGATGTTCCCTATACCCCGGCTAATCACGCTGTTGAAGTACTACTTCCAAATATCGGTTCAAACCAAATCATCGCGCTTGTTGGTTCCGACTATGATACTTCAGATCCAGGCCAGCCAACACATACCGAATTCATCCGTGGTCTGGTGCGGCATTGGCTTACCCCCATCCTTGCTTCTCGACCGGATTATGACGGATAACCTGGTCCTTCTCGGTATTTCGTACTCTGTACTAACCCATTCCGCGGCACTACACGGCGCAGACCCGATCCGTACCACAGAGGTGGGTACTCTACTTAGTAGGTCAGCAAGCGAATATATGGAACATTCGATAGTAACAGTATTTTGTCAACACCGGCCCGAATTGACTCAGCACATATTTTCCATTGTCGACTCACTTGGCCCAAGCTTCAAACGGGAATTTACTGACCACTTCTTCCCATCAATCTTTCCTGAACCACTACAGCGACTATGAGAGCCATACCATATGTTCATACATTGTATCATACATACTTGCCATTTTTGAAATAAATAATATTATCCCTACGGAAGAATGAATGATCAACCGCAAGGATTTGCCCAAGGCATGACTCACATTGATTTCCAACCTATTGTTGACTTATTTGCCTCCGCCCATACCAACATGCTTCCCAATTTTGCTGGCCCTGGGGGTACTATCGCCTCCTGTAGGACTAAGGTGTATCTCCTCAAGCACAAGTGCTATGTCAACTCTCGATGGTCCGACATTCCGGTATTACTCGACACCGTTATCACCACTGGCGCCACCATAGCGTTGCTCGTCCCTTTTCGTTCTAAGGCCACTTGGTGGCACAAATTATTACCTCCTCCAAACTCAGCCGTACATCATCCACAACAATAAGCACACGTTCCTGCGTCACGGTACGGACGCCGTTGGCCGAACCATCTTGGACATTCTCTCTCATTGGCAAGATCGGTCCCATCAGTTCAGGAGTTGCCCCAGGCGACGATCTCAAGGCCGCAATTACCTACGCGATGTCAGCTCATCTAAAATTCGCAAAACACACCTGTCTCGAAGCAAAAATCAAGGCGAAACCTGTCCAGCACTCCAACTCTACTAAGGTTTACGGACCCGGCGAACAACTCCGCATGGATTTTCAAGGCCCATTTCCTGCCGACCGTTACGGCAACCGTTACGCTCTCGTTCTATTCGACAGCGGTAGCCGGTACGGCCTACATGAGGCCCTCAAGGACAAACAAGACATGCACAACAAGGTTGAAAAATTGAACCTAAAGATAATTAATCCCTGGCATGCTAAACAGATTGTCGCCGACGGTGACTCTACATTTGTCTGTCAAAATACTGTCGACATACTCCAGTCTCACAAGATCGACTTCAACACAACGCCACCTCGCACACAACAAATGAACGGAAAAGTCGAAAGTACCCATCGCGTCATAAGCGAACTTGCTATCATCAATTTACTCCAAGCTGGCATGCCATGGCAACTCTAGAGCGACGCTCGCCGATGGGCTTGCATGCTCCAAAATGAACCCCTTTCACACAAGGCTGACATCCAACCCCCTAGTGATATATGGTACCAGAAGGAAATTAATTTTCCGCCTGACGTCTGATTTGGCTGCCTAAGTCTCTTCAGATTGGAAAGCAAACCCCGCGCTGACAAACATAAATGCGAATCAAAAGCTGGCTACGGTGTCCTCCTAGGAAGATTACCTAACTCCACACACGACACATGGCTAATTCAGAGCCTGCGTACACAACGTAGACATTATACACGCAGCGTAAAATTCTTCCTACTCGAGCGCCCCGAATTGTCCTCCGACGGTCGACGCGCAACACGCTCTAGTACCCCATGTACTTATACTATCTCAAAGGATTGGATGACACAGGAGGCACCAATATCCGTTGCCATCCCATTTGTCCCCACTACACCGCCACAAGTTGCCACCCCACCAAACTCTTCCTCTTCCCCGGTATCCTCACCCATCACCGCTCCTCTCCAGCAGACACCACCTCTCCCCACAGCCTCTCCCTCACCGAATAAGCGCGCAACTTTTCGCCCCGGCAACGATCTCGGTTTTGATAGCAACTTGACGATGGACACTGAAAATACATAGACGACCTCAGCTCCAACTCTAGTTCGGATTTTGTATCTATACATGACTATCGCAAAGCCCTCCCCATACGTGTAGCACCGGATCCACTCTTACAGTCGCCTACCACCTCGACTCTCGATATATCCCCAGCTCACACAACCCTCACTGACCGCGCTCGCACAACCACCACATAATCCCGTATTCACGTGGATTCCGATGAATCTCTCCTCGACGTTGTTGCCGAATGTGGCCCCAACCAATCCACATTGCCTAAGGGTCCCTCCTCACTCTCTGAGCACTCAGCTATCGCGCAGGCTCTCATACCTCACGTGCTAGCGGTGCAACCCTCGCAACGGCACGAGATTGCCCTGTTCGAGACAATGTCTCTTCTGGACCCTACGGTGCCGAAGAGCATCGCCAAGGCGCAAGCTGCTCCTGACTGGCCCCTGTGGAAGGAGGCCATAGACATCGAACATAAGGCACAGATTAGAAACGAACTCGCGGATATCGTCCCTATTTCGGATGTTCCAAAGGATGCAAAAAATAATACATTCCAAGTATGTCCTGGCACGTAAACACGATGAAAAAGGAAACCTCACAATTTTTAAAGCCCGTATGGTCGCACGAGGCGACCAACAGGAACAAGGTGACTCTTATTACGAAACTTACGCCCCCGCCGCCTCATCTGTCACTCTCAGGGCATTCTTAGCGCGCGCAGCATTTGAGAAATATCAGGTACATCACTTTGATATATCCACCGCTTACTTATACGCAGAACTCAATACAATTGTCTACATGCACCCTCCTAAGGGTACAGTAGAACTCGGTTTCTGTCCTAAGAACACAGTCCTAAAACTCAAACGAAGATTATACGGCCTTAGACAATCTGGCCGATTGTGGAACTTCGATATTGCCGACAAACTCAACAACTAGGTTTTAAACAGACGGAAGCTGACAAATGTATATGGACACACACCACGAAGGACATCATCGTAGTACTTTATGTCGACGAAATTTGCCCTGCAATCCCCCCCGGTATATCACATGCAAAGTGGCTATACGACAAACCCGGCGCTCACTTTAAACTCAAGGATTTAGGACCTGCAAAACATCTCGTTGGGCTAAAAATCACACAGCACAAAGATGGCAGCATATCCATCGGGCAACAAGCATACATAGAAAAAATGCTAGCCAAGTTCAACCTAGCTGATCGTCCCCTCAAGTTTATACCAGGCAACCCGAACAAGCACCTATCTGCTCTCACAGGTGACTCGTGCACCGAGAAACACCGTTCACTACTGGGCGCACTTGGTTTTGCTTCAACATGACCAGAGTCGACATCTTGTGCACAC